GATGGTGGTTACTTCGAGATGGCATGCGGGGATCACGTCGGTGCATGTAAAAGTAAAATGTGGGGTATGCTGTGCCAAAAAAAATGTAAGCTTTTTGGGTCTTTTTGAACTACCGGGGCATTTTTGGCGTTATTAGCCTTGTTTGCCTTTTAGAGGGAAACTGACATGCAACGGTGTAACAAACGTTTCCTCGCAGAAGTTGAATCCTTTATGCCCTCAGGGCGAACCGAGAATAATTCATGACATGAACATCCGGTACACCAGAGCTATAATTGCCTGAAAAATAAATTCGTTGGTCGTTATGCCCTCAAGGGCTTGCCCTAAGAAAAATTCATGACCTGCGCGGTCGGTATTTCGAAGCCGGATATGCCATGAGAAAGAAACTCGTTGGCACGCAAGAGAGAATAGGTTCTCCGGGAGGTCATCGTTATGCCCCGGAGGTCTTGCCATGAGAAAAATTCATGGATTGCGCTGCCGTTATGTCAGAGCTAGAAATACCTGAAAAAATTAATAGCAAAGAAAAAAAAAATTTCGGGCGCTAAAGCGCCCGAAAAAATAAGACCCGACCAGCACGTGAGATCGAGAGATGGTGATACAAGGGAAAATTTTCGGGCACTGCTGCGCCAAAAAATCAGCTTTTTCGTGCCAAAAAAAAGGGCTAAAAATTTCAGGATGCCCCGATCGACCACCGTGCCCAGGGCATGGCTTCCAGCATGCCCAGGACGAGCTTGATCGGTTTCCCTCGCGGCCTTTATATATATAAAAAAATCAAGACACGCGCGTGCCGTGCCAAGTGCCAAGTGCCACACGCGCGCGTGCGTCTGTGGAATAATGGCCCAGCATGTCTTTGTCACAGAGCTTGATTGTCATGTGGGGGATGAAACACTTGCGATGGATGATCGGATTCGGAGGATTGAATCGATATGCCAAGTCACATGGTATCATTGGCATTATTGGAGTATATGCTCCTATGTCGCTTGCTATTTTACATCTTTTATGGATATTCAACTGGCCCAAACTCAGCTAACATACGTGCATTACGGGAGCTCGCCGTCCACATCTTTACACTGACACTTTGGTTTGCCTGTCGTAGGATTTGGCATACTCTTCGATACAGTGTGTTGCCATTGGGCTTTTTGATGTGGAAGTGCTTGAGACCGTATTGGTGCATGAGTTGTCTTATGCTTTGCTTCGATTGGTTGTCCATTACTTTGTGTGGCCAACCATCAACATAACAGTCCATTCACTTGTTGCCTGTGCCTTGGATTGTTGTTTATGAAAACATGAGGTGATATGCTGCCTGTGACTTCGATTGTTGGTTGCGAAAAAATAATCAGGTGTGCCTAGTTACACAACATAATTGTGCATCAAAGATAGCGTGCTATTGGCCCTTACGGGGAAGTTGCAGGTGTGCCTCGGCCCTGCTTGCCAACACTTCGAGACCCTGCTTGCCAACGTGCCCATAGCTTATGTATGTTGATGCATACGGTAAAAAATGTATCCGCTAGTAAATGAAGCGACATGTCGCTTGTGCCTACGATATGATTGTTGGTTGCGAAAGAATAATCAGACGTGCGTGCGAACGTGCTATAGCCCTGGCTGGCAGCATGCGGAGGCCCTGGCAGCAAGCTTGCGGAGGCCCTGGCGGCAAGCCTGCGGAGTTCCTGGAAGACAGCATGTATTGGCCCTTATGGGGACATTGCAGGTGTGCCTCGGCCCTACTTGCCAACACTTCGAGACCTTGCTTGCCAACGTGCCCATAGCTTATGTATCTTGATGCATACGAGAAAAAATGTATTCGCTAGTAAATGAAGCGACTTGTCGCTTGTGCCTATGATATGATTGTTGGTTGCGAAAGAATAATCAAACGTGCGTGCGAACATGCTAAGGCCCTGTCTGGCAGCATGCGGAGGCCCTCACAACAAGCTTGCTGAGGCCATGGCGGCAAGCCTGCGGATTTCCTGGTAGCCAGCGTGCTATTGGCCCTTACGGGGAAGTTGCAGGTGTGCCTCGGCCCTGCTTGACAACACTTTGAGACCCTGCTTGCCAACGTGCCCATGGCTTATGTAACTTGATGCATACGGGAAAAAATGTATCCAATAGTAAATGAAACGACATGTCGCTTGTGCCTCGATATGATTGTTGGTTGAAAAAGAATAATCAAATGTGCTTGCGAACGTGCTAAGGCCCTGTCTGGCAGCATGCGGAGGCCCTGGAAGCAAGCTTGCGGAGGCTCTGGCGGCAAGCCTGTGGAGTTCCTGGCAGCCAGCGTGCTATTGGCCCTTACGGGGAAGTTGCAGGTGTGCCTCGGCCCTACTTGCCAACACTTCGAGACCCTGCTTGCCAATGTGCCCATGGCTTATGTAACTTGATGCATACGGGAAAAAATGAATCCACTAGTAAATGAAGCGACATGTCTCTTGTGCCTCGATATGATTGTTGGTTGCAAAAGAATAATCAAACGTGCTTGCGAACGTGCTAAGGCCCTGGCTGGCAGCAT